AATGGCCAAACCAGAGAAGCAAGCAACAACAACACCCATGGGTGCGACGAACACGACACCAAGCCTTGTGTACAGCATCCATCCGGCCAGAGCAGCTTGAATTATACTTGCCCAAATCTCGTGCAAGGTTCTTAAGCCCATCTTTATCCGCTCCATATCTGTACTCATGAGTGTTAGAACAGCATTGTCATCGCCAGCTCCGATACGCGCTGTTGTTGCTTTCTTATAGATCTCTGTGACAAGCATGGACGTCGCCATAGTACGCATCCGGTGATGGAAATACCTACACCAATGAATGTATGAGTAGTCCCTTCTAGTGTCCGCATGCTTTCCGGGTTATCATACCATGTGAATGCCCACGAAATAGCCAACCCCGAATAAATCAACAGGCTAGCACCAATGAATCCATATCCAGTGTTCGCATCAAGTCGGGGCTCGGACAAATAGTTCGACAGCCTTTCAAGAAAAAGTGGTTGACAAAAGGTAAAAGCGAGATAAGCGAGGCGTGGAATTACGGGCAAAAAAAGGGGGCCTTTCAATGTCCGCACCAGCACTTTCACGAGGCCAAACTTATCGCCCTTGAGTTTGGAATAGTCCATGTTTCTGGAAAACTCCTCATTGAGCGACGTAGCATCAAAGGAGCTATCCAGGGGATAGAGATCCTCGGTTGCCAGGACTTTCCTGTACCCCCTCAAGAACATCCTGTTCAGCCAGAAAAAGACGCCAAGCGAGAAAATACCGCTTGTTTCTTCTGGACTGTGTTTCTTTTCGTCCCAATCTATCCATCTGGACTTTTCTTGAGCTTCCAGTAGTAAAATGCATACCTTGAGGGCTAGGGCAGCACTGAATATACTACTATAGCTGATCTCGATTCTATTGTCTGATGACAGGAACAAAGTCCTTGCTTGGGCCGCGTCCAGGAGGAAAGTCAGAAACAAGTAGCTGCTCAGTAGTGTCGACGGCCTCGGACTTCTGCTATGATCCAAGACACTAAGTATTATCATGAACAGGGCCGATACGAGGTTGAGGATTGAAGAAGCGATGAACATTGTGGTCACCTGGAACGACCCAACCGCGACCAGGACGAGTAGGGACAGTTCAAGACCCACATAGGTTGTGATGACACCCTGCAATAGTCAATATGATGGTCATATTTCTTTCTACGTGTAGGGTATCGGGAAGGACGTACCAATTTTATTAGCTGGAATAAAGGAGCATTAACAACTACTGGCTTTCGATATTGACATAACGTCCGCCATAATGATGTGACAATGAATAATGCCGACGGTATGATGGAGAAGAATAGCTGCTCAAATTGTAGGTTGAAGTCGAAGCTATTTCGATTCAGCTGGAGTAAGTTTTCTTTTCCGGTGGTGAAAGGCATTTTGCGCGAAAACAAAACCCCTGCCCAGAGTGGTCTTTGCTGGGGGTTATAGGCACACAGTGTGTCAGTCCTGCGCTATCAGGGTGCTAGCAACGAGTTTAGCTGCAAGAGTTGATTATGAGGCTTAGGCTCAAAGCTACGGGTGATGCCCAAAGACTCACGGGAATGCCCAGATCAAGGGCTTCCTTCTTGCAATATGGTCCATGTTATAACTATGGTTAGAGTTTAGACAGCAAGATAACGATTTGCGGCTCTGTAATCGAGGGCGCCCGAGTCAAGGCACTAACGTCGAACTTTTCCACGCCTTAGTCAAACGCCTTCCGGATAGGCTACCAGGCAGTCAGCTCCTTGTAACTTCCTCGTTGAATACTATTAGCATGTCAATGGCGCTTTGTCTGACGTATCCACCCACAGGACGCCATATTCTGACATGTTGGCGGCATCTTCCGCCATGCATTTAGGCAGACATACTACTATGATAAGGTCCAATCCTTATGGTTAATAAGCAATCTAGGCCATGGCCTATTTAATTTACATGTGTGGGGTCATAGATGCATTGTGCCAATACCACCAAAAGACCCTTATCAGACATCTTCCACTTGCATTGTCCTCATCTTGTCAACCACTAGAAATCGCCAAGTACATACTACTGACGGCTAACGGCACTTTCATTGGCCTCCACATATTAACTGCGCCCGATTAGCTAAGACAACACTGGCTAGTTAGTTATAGCTTGGGTCTCTTAGTAACGTAGCAATGACTACTGATACAAATGGTCTTCTGACTCGAGTGTCTACACATTATGCCTCTTTGTACAACTGTGGGATCGAATCGTCGGATGTATTCTTTCGAAAATACAAGGTGGGCTAATAACAAAGCGCCATAGCAAAGTTCAACAGTACGGAGGTTCTTTGTGTGAAGAGTAATTTCTAGGCCAAAAAGTACTGGTCTTCAAGCATAGAAAGAAGTTGATCTACGCTACGCACAATACGGCTTTTTTTTCACAAGTGATTTTCGGCCGGCCAAATGGAAGACCCCAATGCATTCCTACAAGCCGGAAGATGTTTTATTATCCTGAATCGATGACATATGGGCTATACGGCCATTCGATATGGCGTATAAACTTCGGTGATACTCTATGCGAGAATATAGGCGACGAACCCGACAAAGATACCATTATCTGGATTCCTCGTGTTAAAGGGAGTTATTTGGACTGAGAGCCCGAACCAAAGACACATACTGATGTTGTGGGTGAGCTTTCTGCCGGTGAGCCCTTGACAGTCACTGATCACGCTTCTTGGATCGCGGCGATGAAGCAGACGCAGCGTGCTTTAGGACCTGATTGTCGCCTTCCGACCGCTAAATACCGCGCCACGAGTGAATTCTACATCAGACGCGCTTGAGCAATTTGAGGGGATAATGGCAGGTTGATCGGACACAGTTATGAGAGTGATACTGTGGAAAGAATGAATGGCAGAATGACAAAGTAGGGTATTCCTACAATATTATGTTCTGTCCTAAATACTGCCAGGGTACAGGCACGTGAATGATAATGACCCTGCATGACAATCATCTTCCGATGCAAAATACCATATATCCTCATTCATCTGTCTTTGTAAGGAGATGCTTAATTTTATAAGATTAGGTTAGTCACTCAACAAATTGATCGCAGCAGCGGTCTTCGGGTTAGACTGATTGGCCAACCAGGTTCGCTACAATTTCCAATGACATGTATTCATGTCGATCAAACCCCGGGAAACAAACGGAAAGGCCGGCATGACGCTGCATGCTTCCATGGTTCTTGTATTCCCGATAGCCGAGCTACTAAACTGGGGGAGATAAGCATGAAGACAGAACCGCTGGGGGCGGAGTTCGATTGGAAACGGAGAACCAGCAGTGGCGCATTTAGCCGACGGGGTCCGAGGGCGTCATCCTTTTACTCTTAATTGTTGGAGTCGTCCGTCCCACTCCAATCATTCCGGCCACTTTACAATGGCAATGGCTCACTAGGCCCCTCCTAACATGCTATCTTCGGCAATTGTGTCTATCAAACTATGGGGCCAAATTCCCCTTGAGGCAAAGCACACTTTACCCCGCTTGCACCCAGCCAATTCCTCGGTGAATGTTCGAAAGGGCCAGCAGTCTCCCATAAGAGGCGTCTGAAGGTTACCCAGAAGTTCTATCCACAGACAATCAATTAATCTCAATTGAAGCAAGCTCCTATCCAACATGCAGATTCGACACGCAGGTGAGTATGCCCATTCAGTCTCCCAATGCGCGCAATTCCAGTCAATGAAGCTAATGATTGACGTCACAGCCTCCGAAACGGCCTTGAAGGACATACTCGAGGAAGCCCGTCCTGACTTGACGCCATTCGAGGACATCTATCGTGATATCCACAGCAATCCCGAATTGTCTTTTTGTGAAGAACGCACTTCTGCCATTGCGGCGCAGCATCTGAAAGAACTCGGCTACGAGGTACATACACACATTGGCGGCTACGGCGTCGCGGGCGTTTTGAAAAATGGTGCTGGTCCGACAATCCTACTTCGAGCAGACATGGATGCACTCCCCGTGCAAGAGAAGACAGGACTTCCTTACGCAAGCACGAAAGTCGCCAAAAACAAGGATGGGGTTGAGGTCCCCGTCATGCACGCCTGCGGTCATGATACCCATGTCGTCAGCCTGATGGCTAGTGCCTCCCTCCTACAATCCGCCAGAACTCATTGGACGGGGACTCTGATTTGCCTATTCCAGCCAGCAGAGGAGCTCCTATCAGGATCCAGGGCCATGATAGATGATGGTCTCTATGACAAAATACCCGCTCCGGATGTGGTATTGGCAGCGCATGTGATGCCACTTAAAGCCGGCACAGTGAGCGTCCGCTCTGGTCGGCTACTAACCGCTGCAGATTCATTCAATGTGCGCATCTTTGGAAAGGGCGGTCATGGTTCGGCGCCCGAGGCATGCATTGACCCCGTTGTTACCGGAGCGGCCATTATCTTGAAGCTGCAGACCATAGTAGGGCGCGAGGTGCCTCCGGGACAATTGGCGGTGGTCACCTGTGGCTACATCCAAGCTGGCATTGCGGCCAATGTCATCCCGGATACCCTGGATTTCAAGCTCGATGTGAGGACATGCGACGACTCAATTCGCGAACGCGTAATACGTGCGATCAAGCGCATCATCCGCGCCGAATGCGAGGCGGCCGGCTGCGAGAAGGAACCGCAAATCGACCATATCATGTCGACCCCGGCCACTATCAACGACCACGCTACCGTGCGAGCTTTATGCAATACCTTTGGCTCTTACTTCGGAAAGCGACTCATCGAGTCTGACCCGGCAGGTGCCAGCGAGGATTTCTCCCTACTCGCTAGAGCTGTGAACGCGCCGTACGTGATGTGGACTTATGGCGGGATCGATCCAGAGACATGGGATAATGCAGTCAAGAATGACGCGATAAAAGATCTCCCGAGTAATCACTCGCCATTCTTCGCCCCAGTGATCCAGCCCACCCTTCAAACCGCCGTGGATGCCATGTCTCTCGGCGCGCTGACATTCTTGAAGCGTAATTGAATCTGTCACATAGCACCCACCCTTCCTAAATGAAATCAAACACGACGCCATGAGATAAATGCCAAACAACCCACACCATTCATCCCCACACTATCCCCACCCCCCTCACGACCTCTCCACCACACGGACCACAACCTTCCCCCTCGCCCTTCCCCCGCGCAGCTTCTCAAACGCCTTCGGCGCATCCTCAAACCCAAACACACTATCCAACACCACCTTCACCTTCCCCTCGCCAATCAACTCCCCCACCTTGGTCAAATCCTTCTTATTACTCTTCCAAAAAATCGGCACATACTTCATCCTCCCCCCACCCAAAAACCCGGGCCGAATAAACCTCACCGCAAACGTAGGCATCCAGTTCGCCCCAACCTGGGTAAACACACCCCCAGAGACCATGAACTTGTCACTCTCGCGATACAACTCCCACGGCTCCCCCACATGATCCACCACCAACCTAAACACCCTCCCCTTCGCCTTCACGACCTCCACCACATTCTCCACCGTATAATCAATCACCTCATCCGCCCCCAACCCCTTCACAAACTCCACATTCTTCCCCGAACACACGGCCGTCACCTCACACCCCAGCGCCTTCGCGATCTGCACCCCGTAGATACCACACCCACCCGACGCTCCCACAATCAATACCTTATCCCCTGCCCCCGGTGTCACATACGGCGCGATGGCCTGCCACGCCGTCTGCCCCGCTACTCCCACCGTCGCGGCATGATCGACCTCCACCCCCTCGGGGACTATCTGTACGTGCTCGGCTTCAGCGAGAACGTATTCAGCCAGCGGACCGAACTGTGTCGGAAGGGGGAGCGTGCCGTAGACGAGTTTGCCCGGGGTGAGGGTGGAGGGGACGCTCGGGCCCGTGGAGACGATTTCGCCGGCGAAGTCGAGGCATGGGCTGGCGGGTTTGCGGATCAGAAGGGTTGATATCACGGGCATGGCGGGGACTTTGTAGTCGGCTGGGTTGAGGGCGCAGGTGTGAACGCGGATGAGGAGTTGGGTGTTTTTGGGCGCTGAGGGGGTAGGGGCGCTAGGTGTGAGGGTGAGGTTTTGTTCCAGGGTTGGGTGCGTGGTGCTGTAGAGCCAGGCTTGCATTGTTTGGGGATGGGTAGGTGTGGATGGGGATGTCATTTTGGGTGGTTGTTGATGATGACGATGGTGGTTGTTTGTTGTTGCTGTGGAGTGGTGATGGAGATGGAGATGGAGATGGAGATGAAGCTGAAGCTGTCATGTTGCGTTGCATCGGCCGGATTGGGATTAGTGCGGTTGGATGGATGACTGGTTGCCGCGATAAGATAAGACGTCATTGACTGCTGCAGCTGTTTATCCATTTCTATACCCAAAGGATCTGGTGTTTCTGTAGAGTTAAGTGATACCAGAAAAAAATTGAGTTATTCTGTATTATTATTTACAGGTCCACAAATACGTTGAACTGACAGGTTACCGTGGAATGACAAGGAGTAGCCGATATTCCTCCTGACCGTGTCACCGTAAGCCCACAATTCTGGCACCACCATCTCAGCGTGCTATAGACACAAATGAAATTCTTTTTCTTCTCTCTCTGCCCTCCACAGACCGAAATCGTGAGCCTCATAATACATAAAACATAAGCGAACCCCTCCCAGTTCCCATATCAAAACCATAAACCCTCAGCCAAGCCAACCCAAACCACCCCCATTTTAAACGCGCGTCCACTCAGCACCACACCACCCCCAGCAAATACGAGCACAGCCCAACGACGCAGGTACCCAAACCCAAAGCAAATCATGATATTCAGGGGCCTGTGGGCCCCCACATACACGGCTGATAAACCGCTACCCGTCAATCATGGCCATTTGGCCCCAGATTTCGGATCCTTCAGAAACGTCTAGACCCCATGTGTCGCGTGGACAGGCAACCAACAACTTTCTTTTTAACCTTGTTTGGGTTGTTGATGTTTGGTCTGTGCGATCATGATACGAGGGGGATGTGAGTTTGGCCCCTGGATTTCTGTCGGATGCGGTGGTGTGATTCTTTGGTGTAGGGTGTGTGGTTTTGTTGGTTCTTTTGGGAGATTATTACTAGGCTGTAGGCTAGTAGTTTTTTATGTACAGCTAGTGCTTACTTATGATGTGTGGACGTGTTTCGTTTCTAGTAGAGTATATTGCTGAATATATCAAAAGCTGACAGATGTTTTCTTTGAAGTGCTGCAGGTTCGCCATTGATATGAGATAAGGCCCAGATCAAGCATGCATGGTTCGCCAATTAATGCCGCAGTCAGGGCAGTTGAAGAGCTCGTAGCCGTCGTCTTTGCTGTTAGGGACCAGCTCAAACTGCAGTTTCACTTTGACCTCTTCAAAAGCCTGGCCAATTGACCGCTCATTGTCTCCAATCGATCGGTCTAATATCTCGCGTTCACACGGCTTCGCTATCTGGAAGGTGACCTTTTCCAGGTTTGGTAAACTCCCTCGCGAAATCCAATTGTAGAGTATAATCAAGGTACGCCAATCCGGGGGGTTCTTCGGAGTGTATAGGAAAAGCACCAAACGCTTTAGGCTCAGAGGAAGCTGACATCTTAGCTCGGAGCTCTTCCATAGACATATTTTGGCGTTGTTCTTTGGATCATATTCCCCGGTTCCTCTCAATGCATCGGGTTCAACGGTAAGTTCTTCCAGACATTGGAGGGCCGTGAAGTCTACCGGGGGATTATCCACAACTCCTGGATAGAAGTCAATGTCAAGACTCAGAAGCGAGTCCGCTTGATTCTGAATCATATCAACATATATTTGCCGGTTCGGCATAAGATTCGTGGGCCTGTAACACCAAGGCGCCCCTTTATAAGTCAAATGTTTCAAGGCACGGGGCAGCGACAACAACTCTCCCATCGCGGAGGGCGACACATCACAGCCAAACATGTTCAATTTTTCCAGTGGCGTCGATCGTTGTGAAGGCACATGATTCTTCAGGCTCTCAAATTCGCCCCCGACTATGGTCAGGTCTTGGAGGTGCGGATGGATCAGCACGGCGCCCCTCAGACTAAAGTCCCAAGCTGGCTCATTGGGCGCAATATCATCCATGATCATCACACCTGAGGAACGTTAGCATATGAGGTAAGATGATGATAAAGGGTTTGGCAGACATTTTGTAAGCGAAGGAAGGATCTGCGAGCCCGGCACAGCAGATTGGGCAAAGAGAGTGTCCCATTTCTCGGCTTCGGCAATGACTCTCTCATATCCCCCAATGATTTCGTCGTCTTCTTCTCGGTCTGCGTCGAACTCGAGTCCCTTGACGACAAGCGTTCGCAGGTTTACGAGACGCCCGATCGTCGGGGCGAGGGTTTCCGCATACAATGGATAGTACTCCTCTTCATCTTCAACATCGACATAATGATAGTGAATTAGAAGCTCTTTAACATACTCGGCACGGACTGGTACACAGTCCAGCGCGTAGGTGAACTTTTCTCCGTCGTGGTTACGCAAGTACACCGACTGGTACAAAATGCGCTCGACGAGCGGTCGGAGACGTTGGCAGACCCGCGCGAGGCTGGCGAGAGAGCCACGCGATGTCTGCGCCAAGATGGCTTCCAGAAGCTCTTGTGGTAAGTCAAAGATGTGCATGTGGATCAATTGATTCAGGTTGTCTTGGGAGTCTTGGAAAGATGAAGTTCGGTGGGAAGCCGACAAGGGGTAATTATTAAGAAGCGGGTTAGGCTGGGGGCGGTGGCTGATCCTACCAATTCGTGCCCTAACTTTTCCCGTTCGGATCCTTGCTGAGCCTCGCGGTTTGGCCCCAACATTGAAACATCATAGCCCCCAAACGTTCGGCATCGAAAGGGTCAAGAGGCATATACCGACAGATGAGGAAGAACGTGATGTCGCCAGCGTAGGATAAATACCTGCTTGGTGCCCTTGTATTTGTTTTGACCATCACACAACCAACTCTCATACAATCATTTAACTTCCTTTTTCACCATGGCTGGTTCAAAAGCTGTCGCTCTTTTATTCCTGTTGGTTAATCTAACCACAGCCTCTGTTATTCCACGTGCAGAGGCCTCATCGTCAGCGGTTGCTGCCAGTGCGAGCGCGAGCGCTGAGGCTTCCTGCTGGCGATACACACTCCCTACCACTCTCACGGAGGATGATATCGAGCAAAATGAAGATGACACCACCTCGTCGACCAGACGGCGGGGCCTGAACTACTTTGATCGCCGCGATCATACCAAGACTGAAAAGCTCGGTACCTGCGACTTGGGGCAGACGATCTACAAGCCCAAATACTTTCGTTCAAAGAATATCCAAACTAGCCAAAACAAAGTCAGCGGTTATAGCTTCCTTGGGTACTTCATTCCCAAGCTAGACACCTGCGACGCAGCTGTCACGTTCACGACAATTGCCAATGCAGCTGACGTTCCGCAAACAACGGCTGGGTACTGGGACGATGTTAAGGCAAGTGCCCAACAAAAGTACCTCGATCTGGGAGCCCAGATCAACAAGAATAACCAGGAGATGCCACACATCAATGTGGATCATGTTTGTGAGTGGTCACTTGTTTTAGAGTCTATGCATTATCTAACTATTTCTAGACGAGCTCCAAATCCTTGATGCCTTCTTGACGGCTATGATTGACGAGTACAAGTTCTGCGACAGTTTCAAAGAATGGTTCCTCACGATCGATTCAACCTTCAAGAACAAGCAAGGAGTGAATAAGCCCCGACTCCAGAAGCTCTACAGTTATGTAAGGATATATAACCGGTTCAATTAACCCTATATTGTGATTCCGGTGGCTAATCAGAATGCTAGTTGCCTGGTGAGACGTATCCGGACCTGGTGGCCATGGACAGTCGTTTGAATTCGTACAAGGCACCTGTGAGTTTAATATGCACTACCCCATTATCATTCCACTCTACCCAACAGATACTAACTGACCATCGGCTCAGATGTTCGGAAGTGAAGAGTTGAGCGGCATGGCTTCGGTCGACGGCACCGGAGACACCCGCCAGGGCAGCGCGCTGAGCATTATGAACACTCTGGCAGTGGTTGTCTCAATGCTCCGCGACAACAGCGTCGCCACCTACTTCAAGAACGCCAACACCCGCATGTATAAAGCTTTCCTTGGGATTGATGACCTCATGAGCCAACAGAAATCCTGCAACCAAGACCTCGACCTCCCGCAACCCAAGAACGGCTGGGCCAGTGCGTACGAAAGCTGGATGGATAAGTTCCTGAGTACCCAGGCGGCGGCTGTCTCGACCCGCATCTCATCAGTTTCCGCACAAGTCACTAGCACCGAGGCTGCGGGGGCCAAGAACGTCTATGGCAAGGCGCTGGATGCGTTCAATGAGAAGTACCCTACTGCATCATGGAAATGGGACAACGGCAAGCTGCTGGACTGGAGCGCAACTGACGGCACTGCCTTTGCCAAGCGTGATGCCTCGTCAGCGGCTGTCTGTACGCCCACGGCTACGCCGTCCTCCTCGGCAATCAAGTCCCACTCTGCTTCTAGCAAGGCCACGCCGAGCCAGACTGGAACTGCAAACACGGCTTCGGAGACAGGTAAGTCCTCCTTATAACACAGGAAGAAATCCATCGCTTGATGCTCATATGTTTCAGCTTCGCACACGGTCAAGTCTACTGTGACATCGTCCTCGCAGAAGGCGACGATCACGCCTGCGACAAGCACTTCCACCAAAGCAGAGACTACAACCAAGAGCAAGCACGGCTCTGGGTCTTCCGAGGCAGCACAGACTACCAAGTCTACTAGCAGCAAGCCGAAGGATACCGACACCGCAACGACCAAGTCTAGCTCGTCGTCGGCCAAGGATACCGCGACTATCACCAGCACCAAGACCACATCGACGGCTACTCCTGACTCGAAGGATACGAGCACCAAGGATACCTCGACTAAGGACACTTCGACTAAGGATACCACAACTAGCACTTCGACTTCCACAAAGACCAAGGAAACTACCACCTCCACCAAGACTTCCACCACGACCAAGAGTACGAAGACGGCTACTAAGACTACTACCAAGTCTTCGAAGGAGACTGAGGATTCCTCCTCTTCTTCTTCGTCTTGCAAGAAGAAGAAGTGCAAGAAGGGGTAAGTAGATAGTATCCAAACAGAAGAAAAGAATTTCGGCTAATCAGCGGTATAGCAAATGCACCTGTGTGTCCTAAATAGGGAGAAATACTACCTAGGGGTAGGAGATGCTGTGGAATGATGCTGATGGGGAGACATTCATGTATTTTTTTCTTTAGAAGCTGAGGTGATCTGTTTATTATCAAGGACTTGTCTGTTAATGTTATCTGTACATTCATACACCGGTAGGATTAGTTTGGAAGTTCAAATGGTCTGCATAATAAGGGAGACGCTACATACCTTATTGGGGAAGCCTGGCTTTGAAGCCAGCACAGCCCCTACCGCCTGCCTGGCAATTGTGTACATATCTGCCTGAAACCAATATATACTACCTAAGGCAGAATCTTAATGCCTCGGGCATCAGGTACCTCAGAAAGTATCTAACGATTCGTTTCTAATCCAGGAGCTTTGATTTTATACGGGTAGTAATGCGAATATGTGTTAAATCTACAAGCTTTCGCTAAAGTAGAATTCAGCGCGATCTCCCCTCAGCGGCTCCCGGCCCAATAACCTAATTCTCCTCAGGCACACCAATCAGTCATAATTTGTCGGCTAATTACTATGACTTTAGTCCACAAACAAAGTTGCAACTTTTCATTGATGTGCGCGCTGGTTTGTAGGATATCATGAAGCAAATCTAGTTCCGGTCTCAAGGTGTCAGGTGACCGTATCGTTTGCGGTCTCAGATGCTTACAGCCCAGAGTGAAAGTTGGTGGAAGGTAATTGAACGATTGGAAAGATTCATAAGACTTATGTTATGATAAACATTAGTTACTTTTAAGAGGAACATGTTTTCAGTCCCCAAGCTGCGCCCTCAATGACATGGATCTCTCATCAGCCTCACCTCATGATTTGTACCCCAACTTTGCGGATAACCAATCCAGAAAGCCACAACGGAGAGCTCAAGGCTAGGAGCATAAGAATAAAAAGTGCATCCGTGCTAACATTGGCTCCAAATGGTTCGCCAAATATCTTTCCGTGTTGGACTTTTAGGTCTCGCTCTTCATCTTTCGTCAAAAGCAGAATGCGATTGATCTTTTCCATTCTCTCCTGCCACCTTTGACGGTATGTTTGCTCCAATATCTGAAGCTTGCGAGCTCTAGCCTCCATGATCTGTGCTTTTTCTTTCTCAATTTTACTAATCTTACGCCTTAAAGACGCCTCGAGAGCTATCAAATGGGCCGCTCGGCTTTCTTCTGTCGGCTTTTTCTGTTTCTTCTTTTTCGGCCTATTTGACGGTCCTGCTTCTGACCAAAGGATTTTCTGGCGCTGGTATAGTGGTGACTCACCGCCCAAAGCGATGGTTTCTGTATGACGGTTTGATATTCCGCTGAACTCAGTGTCATCGGGATACCAAGTGACCTGACATTAGTCAGACTCTAACCCTGAATATTTTCATTGAACTTGATAGTAAGTATGGTTTTCAATCAAATATACCTGTTGGATGTTATATCTTGATGCAGCTCGACTTATAACACACTGGAATATCTGGTCAAGCTCCTGCTTTGTCCCTTGCAGGGCCAACATTCTTTCCTCACTCAATGCAAGATGGTGAGCCATGACATTCCGTATTTGCTTCGATTTTTTAAGTAGGTTTGAGAAATATTTTGCGGCTTGTTTGCCTAATACACCACGGAGCCTGCTGCCAGGCTGGGAGCAAGCACATTCGAGGGTATCGACAATTGCCGGGAGGTCCGCTGCCTGGTGACAATAATATCCTCTTTCTTCGAGGCCATCCGGGTCGACTATTTCTGAGAGGATATAGCCTAAGAATTCCAACTCTTTGGTCCACTTAAGGACCTGTTTGTGAGATTCGAGGTATACATCAGGTTGCTGTTGCATGTTTAATACATGGTAAGCTTGAGGGTTTTATTCTGGTGATAAGACTCAAGGCATTTAATTCATGAAGCGAGAGCAGTTGATGCAAATGCACTTAGTGTCGTCATGTTGAGATCATGAACTAAGGTTCAACCGGATGGATGCGGATGTTATGGTTGGGGTAGAGAAACACGAGGGTATCACCAGAGAAGATACGAGCAGACGGGAAGGTGTTGCCGTAAGCTCATGGTAGCTATACACCCATTTTTTCTTGGCCAGGTAACCAAACACTCAACCACCTCCTGATCCAGCAGGCTTTGGTCAAGGCTTTGGCTGCTATATGTTGATTTTTGAAGTCACCATTACTCCCTGAACATATAGGCTAGGCCCTTATCGGCAGCCTTGTCGGATTTCATACTAGCTTGGTCTACTGTTATACAACCACTGTTTCTCATTCGCTGCACGCAACGGAGTGTCCATTCTTATTTCCCCGAGTATATAACGAATCTCAGCTCTAGCCAATCGCCATCATGTAGTATGAATGAAAAGTTTGAGACCGTCCGCTCAACGATGTAGTGTATCAAGTGGAAGCAATCCCTGATTACACCTTTCTTTTTGCCTTTCTATACTTTCCGGAAATCCCTCGATTCCAGCTATCCCACTCCATCAATTCTTTCCTCGCACTATTGAGCTGGGTCACCTGTTCATGAAGATCTAGACTCAACTGATTTATCTGTAAGTGAAGATCATCAATTTGTTCCACCAGAGTTTCGGCACCTATCCCACTCATGTTGAGCCGCCTGGCCAACTTGTGCGATAAGTCCACCATGAATTCACCACCCTCTGCCATAATTTGATCGAAGCTCTCACTTTCCAACCTAGTGTAATTCAATGCAACATATTGAGATAACAACTTCCGAGCAGGATTATCTTGAAAACTCGCTCCTGGTGTCGAATCGTAGACAATACGGATGGCATCTGCGAGATACGGAAACACTGCCACTGTTTCTGTATCGATGATAATAAGAACCTTTGTGAGACGTTGCAGTGCGAAGTCTTCAAGTTCACGGATACAATAACGATGTGCGAAGCAATATACTTTCGCATGGATTAGAATTTCAGCGCCAAGGCGATCGTCAGGATTCGGAGATGCTCGATAAGTGCAAGTGCCTGCAGCAGTATGGTTATTATCTGCCGGTAGGCCAGCCTTGAGGCACCGGCTCAAGGGTGTTAGTGGTCTGTTAAGTGTTTCTTGATCATCAGGTACAGACTCGGGTGTAGACGGCTCGATTCCAGTAGGAGCTATGAACAACATTAATATATCACCGACATTAACTTCAGCAAACAACGCCCTACCTTTGCTGTCATCTTCGTCTTTGCAACCATCATCCGGAGTAACTTCCAACTGCGGGACGTAGTAATCTTGCGTATAAAGGTAGCTTAAGACGCATTCGACAGTCTGCTCATCAAAATCGGACCAGTCAATTGGACTTTCATCTCCGTGCTGCCTCCATGGCCCTTCGATCCGCGCACTTAGTGCCGAGTTTTTGCACCATGACAAGGCTTCAGGATGGACAAAATAGGAGCTCTTAGCACTCCCTACAATCACCTGGATTGGTGGTTCTCGGAATATCCTTCGTCTATATCAGTGATGCTCATCATAACGAGGAGAGATGTGTACTTTGCGTAGAGTGAGGTATTAGGTCGTGGCTCCATTTTTGACTAAAAGCGAAACATGGGTTCTGTTGACAGAATATATGTAGAGGGTTTACATGAGTTTGGATCATTGTTCTCCTTCTTCTTTTATCAGCATGACGTGGCGTTATAACACAGATGTCAGCTACCCCGCTTCGATAGGAAGCAAGGCTGCAGACCCTTTTGCTTGCCGCCGACGAGGGTGAGGAGGGGTAAAACAGTTGGCAAGCCTAATTTTCATGTGAGTGCATGTACAATCCCCCTCGCAGCCTCATATTTATGCCCAATTCTGTCGACATCTTGATGTGGCCTAGATTTATCCAAATGATTTGGTACATTGCTTAGCATAGCTCCTACGAGAGAATCGCCGCACTTACCCAACCAATGGCGAATGTAAACCAGCCGGATTGATCGGATTCCACTGTGAAGGCTTTCCTGGAGACTAGGCTACAAAGCTGCAAGGCTGATACTCGACCAGGGATAACCCAACTGCGCAACCAAACATATCAATAGTGCGAAATTGATCAACTATCAGTATTACAGCCTTGCAGCTGGAGCTGCGAGGCTTTAACGCTCCCTTGTACTTAGATGTGGGTTAATCGTCGTGTATATATTGTCCTTAGTATCTTCTGGCAATCAATATGAGGGTATTTCAATTCACTGCTACTCACCCCTTCGCAGTCAAAATGCAAGTTGTGAGCCAGCCTACTCGAGCACGGCTTCGACCACGATATGATGATGGAGACCTTCACAGCAATTCAGCAGACTATCTCACCGTGAACGGAGTTCTGAATCAGTGTTGCCTCCACTTCATTGATATGTTGAGGATGCATGCACACCTTCCGAGGAACTCACGAGAGAATTACATACTTCCGGTCGTCAATACTAGGGGTATTCATGCGCCCCCACCTATAGCAAGCATTTCGGTGCCTAATACTTCCCAAACGTCGGGGCGTAGGATTCGGCGCGTTCGAAGGTATGATCCATACTCGAGAAACACAATCAAGCATGAAAGTCAGTGGTTGAGAATGCCCCAGGCAAGATAGCTCGGACACTCTATTCAAGCAAAATGCAACGGACCGCCCACCTGGTCCCCATGAAATCCGGAGAAAGGAATTGGGAGATTTCTTCAAGCCGATGTTTGAGAAAGACTCCTCCGTGATATTTATCTGTTGGGGCAGAAAAGAGCGCTGTCAGATTGTTCCGGTGGTGATCACTGACCCAACTGATGAGGTTACCGCGTGGCAAGCAATTTCCCGGGAGTTTTACGCACAGAGAGGCGTTTGGGCGAAATATTTGCCATGGTTTTGTGTGAATAAGGTGGAAATCGTTGATGTATGTGGCTCCTAAACATCAAAATTGAGGCGATTATTCTGATTGCAATACCAAAGATTTCTATTGCAGGGCAGAAACTGGCCAGTGGTCGTCGATCGACAGGCATTCAATATGTTGGAATATATAATAGTGAAGACATAGTTACCAGACGGAAGCATTTGGAACAAGTCGTCGCGGATTACGAGCCTCAGGATTGGCCTTGTCCGTATGACATTTCTACAGGGACCGTGGTCTGTCTCGATGATTGTGTAACAAGCTATGCGGATTATGCAGAATGCCCTGAGAGGACTAAATTCCGGGCGGAACGTGAGCTCTCGTTACTCCGTCTTCGGCCTATATTTACCCATTGCTTTCTGAAAGCTGAGATTGCTGCACACAATCACCTCCTTAGCAGGGAGGGATTAATACATGGTCATCAGTAAGAGACTCCTCCGTCCGTCAATATCTATGATCGAAAGTACTGATCTTCAATCAATAGAGATATCCTGAGAAAACTCAATGTTTGGCATTGTCCGGAGTTGGGTGAAGTTCAATTTCGCGGCTTGATGATCGGCGACAATTGGGAAGGCAATTTGCGGCATATGGTGCTACTCATGGCAGTAATACTAATCTTGCTAAGCGTAGCCATTGCAAGGTTGGTATTCCATGGCTGGGATATAGCATGGGCCGTTGGTGGCGTCTTCGTTGGGTTGTTAAGCCTGTTGCAAAAGGGGAAGAGTTGGTAGCTACTATGCAGTGGGAATTAATCACCGATTACATTATATGATGATAAGATTATATGCTTGAGTTGGTCTGTCTCCAGGGCTGTAACATATTCGATTCTGGGAACATATAACTCTGTCAAAATAATGTAGTACTACTTAAGACTCTTTCATAGTAGCTTCATGGGGGCTGGTTGCTCTACTAGTACTATGCTAGTATAATATATATTTCAACTCAGCGCCACTACCAGCGGGCTGTGTAGGGGGGAGAATGGCAAGACTGAGGCTGAGAGAGCGAGTCCACCGTGCAGACTTGGCTTGCTGCAGCAACGCGTGGCTCTTTACTGCACATCCGTTGGCAAAAGAAACAAGTCATCGACAGGAAGTTGAGTGGCGGTGATTGATTGAACTGATTGGGGCTGCCAGGGACAGGGGGTCCCATGACATCCATCTTGATGTGGCCTGGATTTGGTATATTGCTTAGCATAGCCCCTACAAGAGAATCGCTGTACTTACCCAACTAATAGCAAATTTAAACCAGCTGAAGCTATCAGATTTTACTATAAAATTTTCCTGGAGACAAGGCTACAAAGCTATAAGACTAATAATTAATTAAAGATAACCTAACTACGTAACTAAATATATTAATATTATAAAATTAATTAATTATTAGTATTACAGCCTCGCAGCTGGAGCTGTGATACTTTGATGCTTCCTGTACTTATATATGGATTGACTGTTGATAATGTATTCAAAGTAGGCCACTGGCATAAGTTGCCAGGAGTTATGGCTAGTTACACAACCATTCAAGATATTTACTGACTAAAATGCATAGTAATTAAGCATTCATTTATATTTTATGTAATAGTAATACCAATATATTTAAGCTGTATAGAAGCTACATTTTAGGGCTACAACTAGTTAAGGCTTATTTTATAGCTATTCACTACTGTAGAAAGCTCATTACTTTTCTTTCCTAAACTATCAGGTAAGAGCTACTGTGTCTGTTCCTTTATCATTTCAAGTAGGTTCTCCACATTTTCTTCACTGTCACTTCAATCTTTCTTTACTACCACAACTTTCTCATCTCTCTCCTCTACATCTCTCTCTCTTCTACTCTCTCTTCCCTATCTCTCTTCTCATTAATCTATCTTTAACACACCTACCTGCACCCCCCTTCATTTACATCCCTTGCGTTCATATCTGTTCTCTCCTCATCACCTGTCACTAAATATCTGCTGTCTTGATAGATTCCCCTGCAGAAAACTAACCCGTCAATATGGAAGACGACGATATTGATGATATCATCGATTGGTCGGGCGGTGAGTGAAAGGCTTTTGCAGATGACATAAGGACACGGTACTCATAGTATGGACGGAACAGGCGCAGACAAGGGAAAGAGGCCAGGAATACCAATGTGACAATGAGGATGAAGCCTGTGCCAACCTCGGTATCAAGAAGGAGAACCCCCGACTCGGAGGCATGATCCGAGGGACTGCATTGATGTTTTGGCAGCCCGTTTGTATAAACCGTATTATGGAGATAATGGCCCTGGGCCTAGTCCTAGGCGCAATAATCGCTGATGTTGTGGGCGTGGGTAAAACATGGGAGGCTGTTGGCTTCCTGCTACATGTGAGTACCCTATCAGAACCCCCCGAAAGGCTTTTGCAGCTCATGCAAGAGTATAGAATCCGAACCAATGGAAGGAGAAACTTCACGCCGCCACAGAAAATGGCACGGAGCCATCAATAGGCCATCCGACTCTTATCGTTGTTCCGCCCCATCTCATAGATCAGTGGGTGGACGAGATCAGCTCCATCACAGACAGTTTCAACATCCTGCTGTATTACGGAGACGGCCGCCGACAAGGCGCAGAATTTATCAAAGACAACCTTACCCACAAGCACTCGATATTCACAGGTGGAATTGAGAGTGCCTGGACCATCATCATTACATCGTACCAGACGCTCGAGAGCCGACATGGTCCGCAAGCCGTCAAGGCATGGTGCGCCAAGACAAAGCGTGAATATGATTCATCGAATCCAAGAATGCCCATCAGCTTCCCCCATCACCTGAGTGGCCTCTTTGCGATTGCTATCTTTGACGAGGCACACATGCTGCGCAATCCCCTGTCAGGTTTGTCCCTGGCATGTGCTTGGCTGAACGCCGGATTCAGACTGCTACTCACCGCGACCCCGTTTTATAATGGTGTAAGAGACTTTTTAGGATACAAAAACCTCTTGCTCTGTTCTCGCACAGGCGTGCATATTTCGATGAGCAATGCAGGGGCGACCGCAGTTGCGGACGCCTCACCCGGTTCTGAGGACGAAAAATTGCTCTGCAGTCAGCAATTTCTGGCCAAGCATATCTTGAAGATCCTGAAAAGTTTCCACTACCTGATCTAGATCTACTTGATCTTCAGTGGACGTTACATCGGCTTGGTGCAATGTGTGCCGCGGCAGGCTGGCAACCAGCTGATCAAGCAGATTATGATGATGGTGGGAATGACTTTCTTCCTGAGAAACTTGTGGAAACGTGCACACCCATTTCACAACGGACTGGTACGTCGCAGAAACAAGAGACCAAGCAGGCCTACTTCAAGGATGTGATCGAAGATGCAGTCAATTCATGGAACCTCCACTGTGGGCACTGGTGTATTTGACCTTATTTCGCGTATTCATGTTTGTCATCATTTACAATATCCCAGTACCAATTCAAATAACATGTTGTCTTATTGTAGTTGTAAGTAGCAACTGTAAATTAATCAATAAATAACTAGTACTACGAGTAGAGAACCCTGTGAAAGGCTTTTGCAGGACCTTCTTAGAAGCATTAAGTAATAATACTAGGACCATCAATACTAAGATGATAACATCGTATCGCTGATTTGATCTGTCTCCACGTCTGTAACAGTATTCGGTTCTAGGAACATATACTTCAGTCAAGATAGTACTACTAGTGTTGATGTAGTACTACTCAGAGCTTTGTTAGCTTTCATGGAAATGAGTCTCTTTGCCAGTACTAGTACTATGATATATATATTCCTAGTCAACGCCACTACCAGCAGGCTGCGCAGTGGAGAGAATGGGCAGACTGAGGCTGAGAGAAAATCCACAGTGCAGACTTGGCTTGCTGCTGCAACGCGTGGCGCTTGGCAGCAGCTAAAGATGCACATCCGTTGGCAAAAGAAACAAGTCATCGACCGGCAGTTGAGTGGCGGTGATTGATTGAACTGATTGGGGCTGCCAGGGACGGGGGTCCCATGACATCACCGCCGACCGGTCGGGATCTTTTGAAGAGAGTTTGGATAACCCTCTCCACTTCTCTTCTTCTACTTACTTTGACTATCAATGCAATGACGATGCAGTGCCCAATGACATGTGGCAATCGCTTCGTGTTCCTGTCCCTTTCCTCTCCTTTATCTTTCTCTTAATCTCGCTCTCTCTCCTCCCTCTTTCGCTGCATGCACGCTCGTTCCACCTCCCACCCCCCTTTCTTTCCCCCTTCATTCTTTTGACCCGCTCGCGTCCTCCACTCTAAATCTTCATCTTTTATCCTCCCTTCTTTACTATTGTTGTCTCCTGCAATTATCTTTTCTTCTCTTATACTTGGCTTTTCGAGCCATGTGTCCTGGTCGACTGTTCCCCCCTCTAGACTAGTACAATGCCACTCAACACCTTTGCCCTGAGTGTGGCCCTCACTCCGGCCGTCCTCCAGACCCTGATCTCGCATGTGGGTCGCCCTGCCGCTGTCACTTCACTGTTCTATCCCCATTTTGTTTGATCTTGGGTCATAGTTCATGGACCTTGACTCTGACATTGACCCTGATCCTCTATCTCCAGTATATTCATCGCAAATCGCTTCGTCAGAAGCCCAACGTCCACGTCACCTACGATGAAGCAATCCGCATCCTGCGTGAATTCCTGGTCTATGCCTCCAAGCATCCCGTCGAGGATCTCCAGGCCTTCACCTGCCAAAAGGTGCCCGCGCCCCATTGGGTGAAACTACAAAGCGTGACTGTGTCGGAAGAATACCTCGCGTCAGCGGCCAAGGCCATCAACCAACAGTTGGGCCCCAAGGGCATCGCGCGGGTAGGAGGGAGTGAGTGGTGGCAATGGCGTGGACCTGCCGAGGACCTCAAGGGAGAGTGGATCGAGATGAAGGATGATTACAATGAGCGGAAGCAGACCAGTCGCGATCATCCGAGCCAAAAGCGGATCATGCTGTATATCCACGGTGGGGCGTACTTCTTCGCTAGTCTGGATACCCATCGCTATCAGATGCAGCGACACGCTAGGAAGCTTAAGGGCCGGGTTTTTGCACGGTAAGCTTATCGCCTATCTCTCATTTGTATGCAATGCTAACTTATTGTAGTGAGTTCTGGATCTACTGGGATGCGACCCGTGGACCGTAAAAGCTAATTCCGGATTTCCAGCTAAATATCGTCTGGCGCCACAGTTTCCATTCCCGTGCAGTCTACAAGACTCGCTGGCCGCATACCTGTATCTGCTGGAGGATCATGATCCGAAAGAGATCATCTTCGCCGGCGACTCGGCCGGTGGAGGAATGGTGTTCTCGTAAGTAAAGTGTAGCGATGGAAGAGCAACACTGACACGGGTAGGATGCTGGTCATTTGTCGCGACCAAGGTCTGCCCTTGCCGGCGGGTGCTATCCTAATTTCCCCTTGGGTGGACCTCACGCATTCGTTTCCGAGCATAGTTGCGGATAACCCGGGCGATTACATTCCTCCCTATGGCTTCAGACATAAACCCTCTGCTGCATGGCCCCCGCCAAACGCGGACGAGCTGCGTGAACTCAAGAAAGGCCTCAAAAAACACCCAGCCAGCCAGAGTGAGGCTCTCAAGGCCATCCCAAATGACAGCGAGGCCGAGGAGACAGCAGCGAAGGGTTATTCAAGCCGTAAAAACAGCGCGACCGGCGCGGAACGTGCCATCGACATCGAGCACGAGACTGTTAAGGTGGTACTTGATGGGGAGACAGTGGAGGTCAAGGACCAAATCCACATGTATACTACTAACGAGCTTTTGTCTCATCCTCTCGTCTCCCCTGTCTTCCAGCCGTCACTGGGAGGTCTACCTCCATTGCTGATTCAAAGCGGAGGTGGTGAAATGCTACGAGACGAGCAGTTCTACATTGCACATAAAGCCGCCAATCCCACAGCATACCCGCCTAGTGACAAGTTCCTCGACGAGCATGATCCATCACGCGAGATTCTTCACAAATACCCAGGTACACATGTGCAGCTACAAGTCTGGGACGACCTCTGCCACGTCGCTCCCACTCTCAGCTTTACACGTCCCGCGAAGTATATGTATCGGGCGATCGCTCAATTTGGGGCCTGGGCTCTGGCATGTGCGCAGAAAGAGGAGGTGGAAATCGAAGATCAGCAGTCCGGGTCATCCAGCGAATCTGACAAACCAGGAGACGCTGCTAACGGTACCACCAACGGCACTGCAGTCGCATCGATTGGACGGGCAGGCGATCCATTACCGGCCTTCAAAGACCGCATGATCCGTCAACGAGTCGACAAACGGGGCAATATCTACCCGCTTGATCCTCCGTCTCAGTGTCCCGTCCTTCAGATCCCCAGCTCCCAAGTCGGTACCTTCAACCCCAAACTTGTTCGTGGATGGCTGGCAGAGAAGGAGGAATGGGACGAGAAGTTCGCCAAAGAAAAGCTCCGAGTTCAGCGACAGCGGATCAAGGAATTGGCGTATGGCCTTCAGACATTCAAAGACGAGTTGCCTCCCCCCAGTTCGCTCGCTGCGAGACGAAACGCCCCTGGCGTCTTGCCCTCCAAGACCGGCCGCAAGAGTTACCCCATGACAATGTGGAGCAGACTGGCGAGCAAGCAAGACGAGAGATCCATCGCAAAAGAACAGCAGAAAGGCTACGAGGTCAAGCGAAAGAGTGTCGACGCCGGGCGCGCCGGAGCATCAATGGACGAGGCCAACAGGTCCAAAGCCGAGAGCTTGCGCCCGTCCTCTCAACCGGCTCCTACGAATATCGTCATTGTTCCAACCCAATCAGAAAAAGATAGCGTAACCTCCCACAAGGCGTCAACTGACGCAGTTGATCAGCTGGGAACCTCTCCCCCGCAAGGTACAGCACTCAGCAAGTCGAGCAGCCGACTTATGTTACTCCCCGAATACGAAGGGAAGACGCTCCTTGACGAGAACGCCAGCACCAGGACACTCTTCCGTGAAGCCGGCGCCATCCCTACCACATCAGATGGCGTATGGTCACGACTACGCCAGCGGCCACTATCCCATGCTGGGTCCGGCACCATCCGCAGCGAATTCACCTCTGAGGTCCCTGAAGATAGCAGCACGATCGGTGATGAGAAGTCCCTTGCTGTGACCACCACGGGTGTCGACGAAGCCAGCACCCGCGCTGTGCTGCGCGCTGGTGGTGTGGTAGGTCTGATGAGCGATGACGGCGACTCAGCCTATCGCTCGTTTGATGCGCTGTCGACGACGGATGCCGGTGATTCTGAATCGGTACCTGGTGGTGTGAATGGTGATGCTGGAGGTGTAAATGGCACCGCTGATGTTGACAAGCACGCGCGTCCGACTATGCCGGATCGCGAGGTCTTCAAGACGGCCGAGGAGTATGTGGCTTATTGAGTTAACAGCCAGTGGAATTGTGCTGACGATATATGCCTTTTGATTTTTGCGTCTTGTCTCGCGACATGGCGATTGGCGCCTCTTCTGCAAGAGTCATGGCGAGTATATTCCACTGTTCTACCTATACTTCTGATCTATCGTTTATTGTTTGGAATACCCCGTTGTTGAATACTACAAAGACATACACCATCTTGAAATCCTGCATGACTGTACATACCGCAATCACATAACCATGAACCATAACACATTTTGGGTATAATCATACACACATACTATACATATAATCCTCACCTCCCCCTCCCCAAAGACACAAACCTACCACTCAATCCCCACCTTCTTCGCCACCTGCTCCGCAACATCCAAAAACGCCCTCCTCCTCACCCCCTCCTTACCCTCCTTTCCTTCCTCAGCAACCACACTCGGCATCCCCCGATCCGCATCCTCACAAACCCTCGCATCCAGCGGCACATCACCCAAAAACCCCACGCCCAACCTCCTACACTCCGCCTCCACCCCCCAATCCGCCCCCTCATGCACATGCTTCCCCTGCGAGAAGATCTTCGTCTGCGTCCCACACTCCGGGCACGCAAAGAACGCCATATTCCTCACCATCCCCAGCACCGGCACATCCATGCGCTGAAACATGCCGATACCACGCACTGCATCCCGCAGCGCGATATCCTGTGGCGTAGTCACGATCACGGCCCCATCAAGTATGATCTCCTGGTTGATGGTGAGTTGCACGTCGCCGGTTCCCGGGGGAAGGTCAAGGAAGAGCACGTCCAACGGACCCCAGGATACGGAGTGGAGGAGTTGATGCATTGCTTTTGTGACCATTAGGCCGCGCCACGAGATGGGGGTCGGGTCCATGGGGGGTCGTTCGGTCGGGTCGGTGGTCGGGGGTGCTTGGGTACTGGGGAGGAGGTAGCCCATTGACATGGATTTGAGGCCGTAGTTGGTTAGGGGGAGGAGGCAGTTTTCTGTCATTCCAACCGATTTATTCATTAGTTGAGGGTCCCTTATAATAGCCATAGATGGGAGAACGCACTATCGTCTAATCTAGGCTCGCCCGATAGGTTCAGCAGTGTTGGAATGGATGGGCCGAAGATATCGGTATCGAGGATGCCGGTGCGAATGCCGCGGCGGGCGAAGGCGAGAGCGAGATTGACTATCGTGATCATAGTGGCATTAGTATTTCATCTGATTGATAGAAAAGTATGCTGGTAAGAAGGCATACCCGCTATCGTCGACTTCCCCACCCCACCCTTCGCCGAAGACACAGCAATCACCTTCTTCACATCGCGGATCTTGCGCTTCTCGGGGAGCCCGCGACGACTTCGGAGAGACGGCGGCGTGCCGGAGCGAGGGAGTCCCTGGGAATACCTTATTAGTACCAATATTCTGATGTCTCAGAGGAAAGGAGAAATACTAAAGGATTCTCATGCTGCAAGCTCCGGAATGTGGAGAACAATCGTTTCCCCAACATGATGAACTCTTCCAATTCAATCAAGTTGGAAGTAGTAGTAGTTGAAGCCCGTCGTCTACTATGATTAAATGATGGAAGCTAATACTGCCAGAATAAATCTCACCGCCGGCGAAACCCACCCCATTCCATCTAACCTTTTACAGAAGGGGTAGGTAATCCCGACACCGCATCCCGAAATCTCGGGCAGAAAAAAAAAGTTGCAAAGGGAAACTAAACTAGTCTGCGGTCTTGAATTTCTTCCGTTTGGGTGATTTACTTTACTTTTTGCATTGTTTTTTTTTTTCTACACCACGGACGTGAACAGTCGCAGTCGCAGCCATGGCTCCGAAATCTCTGGCGGAACAGATGGCCGAGTTGGAGGATTTGACTCCGAGAGGTATTTACTAATTCAAATCCTGTTGATGGTGATGTTGATGTTGTTGGGGGGAACTATGTTCTGACTGTGGTGATGGTTTTAGACTACGACCCTGAGGATCTTGATCGCGGAAACCAGGATAGTGATGAGGAGGGTGCTGCTGGTGGTAAGGATGAGAATGCGGGGAGGGAGCATTATCAGGCTGTTGGGTAGGTTCTTCTTCGTTTCTCGTTTTGTTTATGGGTTGGTGTCTAGTACTCATGGGGCATGTCTAATTATTGTATCATTGCAGAAAAGCGAAACTTCGCAAGCAGGACCCCATCACCCTCGGAAAACAGTATGCTGGATCGAAAGTGAGTCGCGCGGCGTTGGAGGCTGATAGTGATGATGATCCGTTTGCGGCGCGGTCGGGTGATGAGGATGAAGACGATGACGAGGACGAGGACGAGGATGAAGATCTGGAACTGGGTAGCGATGAGGATGACGAGGACATCTCCGAGAGCGAGGAGGAGGAGCAGCGCCCGTCCAAGTCCTCAAAGAAGGGAAAGAAGCAGGTCGAGCTGGACGACATGGATACCGACGAGTCGGACGACCTTGAAGGCAGCGAGGGATCTTTCGACGAGGACGAGATGCCCTCCGACGAAGACGAGGAGGACGAAGATGAGGATGAAGATGACGACGAGGACGAAGAAGAATCAGAATCCGACTCCGAGTCCGACCCCAAATCGCGCAAACCCACCAACGACCGCGACGAACTCCGGCGCCTGATGGCAACCGACCAAAAGACCATCGCGGCGAGCATCTCCCAAGCCGCCAAAGCCGACGCCGCGAAAGGCAAAGCCGTGAAGCAACAACGCGCGACCTTCGACGCCCTCCTCAACACCCGAATCAAGCTTCAAAAGGGCCTGACAGCCATCAACCAGCTCTCCCTCGCCGCCACCTCCCCCGACGCCGACTCCGAAGAAGCCATCACCTCCGCCGAATCCGCCGCTCTGGCACTCTGGTCCACGCTCGAAGACCTGCGCGTTGCGCTCGCCGACGCCCACAACACCAACGGTAGCACAGACGAACCCAAGAAGCGCAAGCGCGTCGACACCGACACCCCCACCGCGACGCTCTGGACACGCATGACCGATCTCGAATCCGCCGCGACCACCCACCGCCGCACCATCCTCGACAAATGGTCCGCCAAAGTCCGCGGCTCGACCGCCACGACCGCCGCCAACACCCGCGGCAAGCTCATCAACCCATCTGGCTCGGGCGCGCAATCCATCACCGCCGTCCTGGACGCCCAGGTCGCGACCGAAACAGGCGACCATTCCCGCGCTGCTAAGCGTGCCCGTCAAGACACCACCACCACTGCCGCCGATGGCGCAGCAGCCACTACCCCCATCTACGACGACACCGTCTTCTACCAATCCCTACTCCGCGATCTCGTCGAGCAGCGCATGGCCTCCTCCGACGCGATCACCAACGGCCTCGATACTCTGCACATACAACTGCCGACGCGCGGCGGAGCAGCGATCCACCCTGTGACGGGGATGCGGAAGGATAAGGTCAAGCGGGATGTGGATACGCGGGCGTCGAAGGGCCGCAAGATGCGGTTCGATGTTCATGAGAAGTTGCAGAATTTCATGGCGCCGGAGGATCGTGGTAGTTGGACGAAGCATGCGCGCGAGGAGTTCTTTGCGTCGTTGTTGGGTAAGACGGCCAGTGGGTTGTTGAGGGAGGAGAGTGGGGATGAAGAGAGTGGTGCGGAGGAGAGTGAGGAGGATAGAGAGGAGGGTGGATTGAGGTTGTTTAGGAGCTAAGTAGATGCTGCTTACTTTGGGTGTATAGTATTGGTTGCTTTCTTGTTCAAGAGGTTGTTTAGTGGGGGAAAAGTGTGGAGTTGTATATAGCTTGGATTGATTACTATGTATGGTATGTGGGATTGGTACACAACAACACAACACAACAACAACAAAAGTCACAGTTTGGTTCGACTTCCCCGACATTTGTCTGCCTTCTGTTCTTCTCCCTCTTGGGGATCATCGTATCGGTCATAATTCATTAATCGTAATGCTTTGCTGGAGCGCATTAGGTAAGGTAGTGAGTATCCACATCGTCGGATATATTCTCATCCACGAACTCCCCTATCGAGCGCACAGCGCAAAGCGCAAAGCAGCAGGTCGGCACATATGCATCTCAATATGTTGACAGACAGACTAACACTCAGCACACAGCCGGACCTTCAATTCAATAAAAAAAATTATAAGCGCAGTGGTTCAGTAGGTATAGGTATCACCGCTGCGCTCCCCTCTTCGCAGGCGAATACCTCGGCAACCACCCGGCCGCCGACCCAGCAGACAGGGGTCTCTCCCACTCGAAGCTGGTCTGTCTCGGCAAACCGAGCATTTTCTCCTGTACAGCGCGCTGGAGCTTCATTTTCCTTTCCTCTTCTTCCTGGGGGGAAAGGAAGTGCGGAAAACCGTCGTAGTCGACGATGACGGCGCCGCTGACGTCGTTGTAGCCTGGGAGGGAGGAGACGGGGATGGATCTGGTGGTTGTGTCGATCATGGTTGGATCGCTTTCTTTGTCTTGTACAGGTGGTTGTTGTTTTAGGTCTTGTTGGGAGTATGTGTAAGTTGGGGGTGGTGAGGGTGGTGTTGATGTTGATTTGTCGGCTAGGTAGTACTCGGCTGGGGGGTTGATGTCTTCCCAGATGAAAGAGGCGGTTTCTTTTTCGGTGGGTGTTCCTGGTTCGGATGGTGGTGAGTGGAGGAGTGGTTTGGAGATTTCGGATGCGAATAGGTCTGGTTGTTGTGGTTGTGGTTGTGGTTGTGATGGTGAGTATGGTTGGTGGGTAGTGATAGTAGTAGTAGTAGTATTGTTGGTGTTGGGTAGTAGAGGCTCCGAGAGACTAGTCGGAGTAGTACAAGGCTTATCCATTTTACCGGCAGAGGTGCACCTGAAAAGGGACCGGAAGGATGAGAAGGGGTGGCGGCCTATTACTGGCCAGGAGGAGGTAGAGTTGTTGTCAGGCATTGATTCGATCAATGGCTAAGTAGTAGATAGAGAGAGAGATGTTATTGTTGGCAGCAGCAGCGGCAGCAGCAACAGCAGCAGGAGAGAAGGAATGGCATTAGCACTCTGCAAGATGCGGGGGAAGTGACAGTCCATTGGGCCGGGAGAGCGGGACTAGAGTTTCTTTAGTAGTTTTAGCAGTGGCCAAAAAAGATGGGGAAAAGGGAGAAGAGGAGGGGGTGTGGAAATGGGATGTGCAAATGACCTTCAGGGGTATGGAGGGAACTAACTAGTCGCATTTCGCATCTAACAAGTGAATATGCGGAGCCGTGACTCGGAACCGAGGCGGGCAAATGGATGATCAAGACTTCACGTGCCCCCCCCTGGAACCCTCTCACTTTTGACTATTGATTTCGCCCCAGCCATCAGGCGGAACTGGAAGGAGCTAGTGTTGTTGAAGGCGCTCCTGAATGATGAAAACGGAGGCGGATGCGATGCTCTCAATTCCGGCTTCCATGGTTGCATTTCCGCCTGGCTCCACGTCGAATACGCGTTATTATCCACCCGGATTAGGGCTCTGCTTGGCCTGTTACGGTGGAAATGGACGTTTTCGGGCTCCCGATAATACTCCTCCGAATGACTACCATGAGTCTTCTGGAAATACTGAAATGTGCCTCGAAGTTTCAGTCCAGGCTTCATGTTGCTTCTACTTGGACCCCATCGGAGCCGGCAATCTCCGTGGCGCGATAGTCTCTGCAGCATGCATGGGAATGGCGCCGCGTGATAGGCGAACCCATATGCAGGGTGTCCGGCGTGCACGATGTGCCATTTAGGTTTGCGATTTCAAGATCCGTTGCCATTTGTGTCATGTCTACACCGCTACAATGAGGCCCGAATGTGAGGTGCCCGATTGACTTCAGATGAAGTCTCAAGGTTGGGGCTGGATTCGACTGGTCCGTGAGACTGCATCGACTGGTTGTCGCATGTGTTGGTGCAGTAGAATCATGCCCAATGTGACGTCTACAGCCCAGCAGGAATGAGCGCCAGTTATATCTACGGCCATTATCTGCCAATCGGCACGCGTCACAATATCCCGGTGGTCATATCGTCCTTTTAAGCTTTTAGCCACTTGAGCAGATGCTGCTAGTCCACCGGTGCATATGCCCGGACGAATAAGAGCTGATAGAGAAAGCGAGAGTCCAGCACAGAGATGCACTGCTAACGTTTCTGCATTGATTACCCTGGCAGGCCTCCCAGCGTGGCTAGACTCATCACAGGGGCAATGCGGGCGACTGCTGCCTGGTCGAGATCCACAGTTGATTGGGCTCAGCACGAGGGCAATAGCTGGTGACGTGCTGGGGCTGTTGGAGTCGACCTATCCCGAGATGGGTGGCACAGCGCATAGTGCCCCATTTTGCCGAATGATACACCTGTCACTCTTTGGTGTTACAACGCCTAGATCTCGGTATAAGTTCGGGTTAGTTCAACTGTCCGTCTCTTCGTCGGCCCATTGGTCTCGTAAGGACTGGATCGATGCCGTCACATCCCACCCCGTTCTCGTCCACATCTCTCTGAGGAGGATTTCTGCAGCCTGCTGGTCCGTCTTGTGCCGAATGACCCAGCCCCCTAGTGCCAATGTTAGTCGAGTAGCAGAAAAGTTTGCGCTTAGTCCATGCCACATGACTCGGCTGCCATGTCACTTACACGCTACTAGGCTATGCCGTGCGGTGAAAAGCGTATTCTCCGCTTTGGGATTTGACTTGGCCAATCCCAGCACCATGAATAGGTGATAGCGTATCGTTTTCTGAGTACAGTCAGGAGGAAGGATCATATTAGAAGGACACCAACGTACCTCGATGTTTCGCGAATTTCTGAAACTCTCGTAAGCAAGCGGAGGACTTGGGCAACAAGCAAAGGCAAGGACTATCTTAGCGATATGGTAGTACTGAGTCCCGATCACTAAGTTGGAAAATTGTTAGTCGCAATCGGGCAGATGTCGGAATACTCACCATGCACCGGTAGCAACATCCACATCTCTGGGAACCGACACGAGACATCCTTTCCACGAGGAAGTTCACGCAGGGGTTGGAAGGACGGCGGCTTTCTGGCATTCCAGTCTTCAATTTCCTGCGCAATGCTCTGTAGCGCAGTGTATTCTGGCGAGGACATCTGATTGAAAGCACATTTGAGGACTTTGGCTAATAGAAAGACCATCCGAGCTGCCCACGCAAAATCATCGTTTCTTAGAAAGATATCGGAATGGTGGAAACTTTCCAGATTCGTTCGTAGGGGCTTCTGCGAGATCAGCGATACATGAATGTCCTCACGGAGACAGAGCCAGGCTGCCGCTTCACCCAATCCCCCGGAGGATCCAAAAGACGAGACAGTATTCATGATGCGCGTTGCTCCTGTCAGATGGAACTGATTGTCGTCATCTATATTTAAGTCAGCGCCATGGATGCTTCTGTTGCAGAGTAACATCACATACACTCCATTTCCTCGTGTTGGCGAAGGATAGCAACAGTAGCAAGAACAACATCAGTCAGATCGCCCCCAGTCCCAGACAATGTAGGGATTAGCAGCTGCAGACAGTGATTATGGTATTGCAGCGCCTCCGCTTCGTTTCCCTTCCTTTGTCGCTCGACATGACGAGATGAGAAAGCGAAGATCGCATATCGCAGAACGGGATCCTGCATTGCTCTCACAGGTACCTCTATCTCGAAATGTCGATGAGGGTCGGTTATATCTGCCTTTGAGGGGTCAGCGACAAGAACAGAAACTTGAAATACCAATCATTGAATCATACCCACAATGCCATATTCTCAACATAGTTCCGCATCAATTTCGCCTCTCTCCCATTGAATGAGAGCCTCTGTTCCCGTACCAAATTACCAGTCTGTAAGTCCTTCCCAGTATCTCTGTCAAAATGCTGAAGAGCGTTTCCTATAAACAGACCCAACTCAGATGGACGACCATCATGGCACAAGGTCTGCGTCGGAGTGGTATCATCTGTCAATGGCGACGTATACTGCTCGAGGCCATGGTACTCCACAGCACCGACTGGAGTTATAGGGGCATCATTGACCCCACGAGACTGCTCTGTTGAGCCATCATGCTCTGGTTTTTCAACCTCATACAATTGTTTGATGATGATCGTTTCGTCAACGAACCTCACTTCGGAAGTTAGAAGGTCAGCTTGACACCACCAACCGCCAAAGAGACAAAAGGATCACTAACGTGGACCCATCAAGTATGGCCACAAATCCCTTTCCGGGAATAGAGTATCATCGTCACCGAAGATGTCTAGTCCGTTCCGGAAGCGCACGTTTACTCCTCTGTCGCAGTCTATACCTGCCCGGAGGCAATGGCTGCAAGTTGGAGAATTGGTGTCGCCTGTAGGATAGACGTGTCAGTTCAAGACAGTAGACCTATTTGTGGGGAGTACGGACACTTCAGATGACGGACTAAACAAGAGAAGAATTAGTCCATATACGAATCTCCACCATCGCCTTCGGTGGAAGTCAAAGGGGCGGTCTAGGAACTTACTCCGACATCTTTGACTGAAGGGATGAGTTAGCGTGACATAATTTTAGGAATGGTGATAGGTAGTTGGGTAATTACCAGCCAGCGATCAGACGATGTCGTGGTTTGCGTGATGGGGTCATGGGGGTCCTGGTGCCATTGAGAGCGTGAGAAAGCGGATGAGGAAACACGGAAAGAGTTGCCTTGTAGAGGTGAGCGCGGGCTAGTCTGGAATCGGTCGGGGCCATCCCCGCATCCTATATTAAATCCCCGCATTCGCTAAATGAAGGAATCTGAGCTACGGTCGGGCCTATCCGTCACTTTTTGGAAGGGCCATTCTTGGCATTCAGTATAGATATAACAGGTCGGTTCACAGTACTTGAACGAACTTATTTAGGAATAAAGAATTTATCATCCAGAGAAAGAAAACTTATATGCAATGACAAACGCTCAAAAAGTTCATAACACATGAAGACCGACGCCAAAAGCCCAACATGAGACGACAGAGAAATCTCAATAATACTCCGGCAGATTGCCAAAACTAGGGATGGCATCCCCGCACTTAAAGGCCGGGCTATAGGCCTTCTTCGGCATGTAGCCGTTCTTCCACGCCGTCCGATAGCTCCACTGTGCTGCAGACTCCGTTGCCCAGGTCCAGTAGAACCACCCCATGGCGGTTTCAAAAGCCGACATCTGTGCTTCGGCGTAGGTCTGAAGGAACGTCTTGTATCCTTCCGAGTAGACGCCGGGGACAGCGTTTGCTTGCGTGCAGCTGCAGGTTCCCTCGCTCGCTGTGGGACAGTACTGAGTCGAGTCGGTAAGAGAGAAGGTACCTTCCCAACGAGTACCGCGGCCGACATTGTTAACGTATTGAGCACAGTCGGTGTCGGCTTGGGACCATTCACCGCATATGGTTGGGCCCCATCTAGATAAGGTCAGTAACTTGTGATAGTGGGGAGGAGTGGGGATGGATACGAACCCCGTGCTGGTAATATTGATTTGCTGGATCATTGAGTACCAGCTTTCGCAGATGAGCTCCACTCTTCTGGTGTGGTTGAGGACAATCTCGCCCGTGTTGAAGACGGTGTATTGGTGGGTATCAAGCATCATGTTGTTTGGTCGAGTTTTGAGCATCTTATCCCATTTCGCAAGGTTGAGGAAGCCGTCATGGGCGGTGACCCAAGCTTTAATACCGTTCTTCTGCACCAGGTTGGTGGCTTCTACTGTCCAGTTGAGGACCTTTTCGACAGGCAGGGAAAGCATTAACGGTTCATTTACGAGGCCGTAAATCGTCACGACATTCTTGTATCGGTCCTGTGCGAAGAACTGCGAGAGCTGGTCATGCATCTCGAGAGATCGCTGTCGGTTGAGTTCTCCGTCAGTTCCATTCAGCCAGCCGATCGTGCCCTGTCGACCGCTGTGGTTCCAGCCGTTCTGGCTCCCTGGGATTCCGTGGGGATCGAGGTTGACTCGCAGGCCGTATTTGCGGCAGTATTCAATGGCTCTGAGGAGGTACCGCCATGCGATCTTTGGGACATACGGATCGCCATCGTATGTCTTGATGGCCCAGTATGAGAACTGGATCCGAACATGATCGAGACCAGCGTCTCTGATGTCAGCAAAGTCTTGCTCGGTGATAAACGTGGCATAGTGCTTTTCGATGACTGAGGCAGCCGAGTCGCCAAGTTTCTTGGATAGAGTCCACTCATCGATAATCCCTTCGCTTGAAGTGTAGGTATCGAAAAGCGAAGGGACAATGAAGGGCTCGATCGACAACCAGCCTCCAAGGTTGACACCGCGAATAGGTTGCGACCCGTACGGAAACTTCTCGTCCAGAGGTGGCACGTTTTCGTTCGCTTGGGCCGAGTCGTTCCACGTCGAGTTCAGACCCATGATAGACAGACCACCAACGGTGGCATTGGTAAAGGTCACATTGAAATCAGTGGTATCGTACCATGTAAAGGGATCGAGATACGTCCCTCTAGCATAAGCCTAATATGGTCAGTATCACCAAGGGGTAAATAGAGCTCAAACATACCGGAATACTATCACGACTGATCCCGTCCAGATTAGACTTCGAAGAATTGTCGCCTCCATTCGTTCCATGAAGCCTTCTTGCCTCGATAATGCCCACAGGGATCGCAATAGCTGCCATGACTATTAATATTGCAAAGAAGATGAAAGTTTTGTGGTATCGCTTCCAGAACGACGGCCTTGTAGAAGCAGAAGAACCCTTCGTGCTGCCATCCCAATCACCCTCTTTCTGGAGCAACCCCTCTGTAGGCGGCCCACCTCCACCACGATGTCGCATCTCCATACCAGGACCACCCTCTTCCAACTGCGCCCCAGACACCACCCTACCCTGCATCTGGCCCGTCGGCGCTATTGCAGGAAACGGCCGTAGCATCATTGGCTCCTCACTCAGAACTGGAAGTTTCCTTTGCCTGCCACCTTCCAAATTTCTCTGTGACATCGAGTCCGCACGCTCACTACCCAGATGACTCAAGCAATCCTCATCGCCCTCCTGTGACCCAAGCAGCTTTGCCAGGGCATCCCCACTGACCAATCCCGCCGATGCACCCCCGTTCTTATGTTTGAAGAAAGCCGCAAGCCTCTCTTTTCTCCTCTGCCGTCGCGTCTCTCGGTCCAAGCGCTTCTTCCCCTTTCCCTTACCTAGAGAATCAGATGGCAACGGAGGAGGTCCATCATCGCCAAGCGCCCCGCTCATCTGGTACTGATACTCTTTCGCTTGAGTGACATCCTCTTCCTTGGGAATGGCGGTCTCAAACCCCTCTCTCCACTGATCACCTTCGACCTGAGCGCGTAACGGAACCCAAGGCTCTCCAAACTTATCATCATATTCGCGGTCGTGGTCATTCTCATGGACAAAGTCGTCGTCATCATCATCATTATCATCGTGGTATTCATCATGGGTCTCGTAACTATACACATTTCGTGGTGCACGGGCGTAGTCTTCCTCTGCGGAGTCAAACAACGAATCATTGGCATTATAATGCTCCCTCTGGTACACCGAGGGAGAGTAAACGGGATCGGCATCGTCCAGCTCGCTGCTGGGACTCAACCGGTCCCGACTGCGGGAGTGGCTCGGCATGCAGTGCAGCCGGGAACTCTATCGGAACGAATAAGAGGCGTAAAGGAATAAAGGAATGTGGGCGTCAGATAAAGTAAATTAATCAAATCCAATCGGCAGATCCGGGTGTGCCGGGGCGAGAACACAGTGTGGAATGTTGGGTTGCCCCGCCGGTCACAGTCTAGAACTGCCACCGTCCCACGCTGACGGTGTGCCCCTGAAGAACAGTGGACGGAATGTACGGGAAATCGGGTGAGATGGGATACGATCTCCGGAGTATGGCTAATTAATTAGCTGAGCAGTCCGGGGGGTACCAAGACGGGATCGCCAGGAACCGGGAGCAATTGAATGAATGAATGAGAGAAAAAAGGACATGTCAGCTCGAGGCGGCGGCGCGTCTGGCGATAAACAGAAATTCGCCCGATTTGAAACCCTTTTTGTATTGGATTTGCTGTTTTGGGTCTAGTGCGGAGACGGTCGTTTTTTGGGGTGTGGCTGGATTGGGACTAGTGCGGGCTATTCAGGGACTGGACCCTGGGGAGTTATCACCTGACTGGCTACGTTATCGTCCTTTTTTACTCCGGAGGTGTTCTAGAAACAATATTATTCCCTTTTTATATATCTTGTTGCACATGTTTTGTTGTTACAATCTTTCTTTTCACTCAAGCACTTAGTACTTGGTGTAACGCAGGTACGGCTTCAGCTCGCGCACCTCGCCAAACTTCTTCTTGGCATCCTCAGTTGACACCGAAGGAGGCACAATCACATCCTCGCCCACCTGCCAGTCAATGGGAGTGGCAATGCCCTTGCGGTCAGCAGTCTGCAGAGAGTCGATGACACGCAGGACCTCGGCCGAGTTGCGGCCAGTCGAGGCAGGGTACGACATGGTGAGACGGATCTTCTTCTCGGGGTCGATGATGAAGACGGAGCGGATGGTGAAAGGGATGCCCTTCTCGGCAATGTTGTCCAAGTCGCGCTGGTCAACCATGTCGTAAAGGAAGGCGACCTTGCGGTCGGCATCGGCGATGATAGGGAACTGAACGTTGGTGTTGGCAACCTCGTTGATGTCATCAATCCACTGGTCGTGGGAGCTGAGGTCGTTGGCGCTCTAGAGGTTCATTGACTGTTAGCGGCAGACCCGAAATTCTATTACCAGACCACTCACCAGACCGATCATCTTGACGCCTCTCTTCTCAAACTCGTCCTTCATCTTGGCGAAAGCACCCAGCTCGGTGGTGCAGACGGGGGTGAAGTCAGCCGGGTGGGAGAAGAGGATGGCCCAGCTGTTGCCGATGAACTCGTGAAAGTCAATCTCGCCATGGGTGGTAAGGGCCTTGAAGTTGGGGGCTACGCCGGTCAGTATGTATTCTGAAGGTTCAAGGTAGTTGGACTGGTAGACCTACCGGTCGATCCAAGACGCAGACGAGGCTGTTCCTGAGGAATGGTTGCGAGGAAGCGGCGAGTGAGGGGCTGAACGCGGGGCTGCACGCGAGGGAGCTGCGTGAAAGACACCCGGGCAAGAGGGGTGGCTCTGGGCAGAGCAGTCAAGGCGCGGAAGCCAACACGGGGGAGAATCGATGCCATTGTGCTTGATTTGGAGCAATTGAGATGGGATGAGGAGAGAAGAAGCGTTCCGAGAGCTTCCACTGCTCCAACAAGCTGTTTGCGTGATTGCATCAGTGGGGGAACGCTAACCGGATTCGGCTGCTAGCACATGCTGATTCCTGAGGCGGACGCAGATTTTTGGCGTACTTTCTGCCTGAGGAATTCGAGCGCTTAAATGTTTAGCCCTCTCTACATTGTCTGCTCTCAGATCCACTCATCCTCTAGCAGCTCTTCAGCAGAGCTGCGCTTGTTTGGATCCCATTGTAACATCTTTCGCACCAAGCGTAAGGAACGGATCTTATCCATACCGTCAAGAGATTTTTCCCTACCCTCGAGTGGTATCCGAACTCCTAGCAGATATGGGCTAAAAAGTCACCTATGAAAGTCATATATTGAGCGATTGTCATAGTACGCAGCTGACATGGACACTAGCTTAGCATCATCCGAGAAGGATTCAGAAGAGGTAGATCCGCTTAGTTTTAGGTGAACAGCCAAATCAGAACGGGTAGACAGGAATTATTTAGCTGGGCTTGTTTCCGAATGGTGTTTTGACTCCGAAGCCGAGAGCCGATACTCAGATATATATTAACAATGAAGCAATCAACTGAAGCGGTCCAGATACCATACAGAGCAGTCTCAATCTCTTCCTTTGTATTTGAAAATTGATAGTCGGAACAAACGACCGTTATCATGGAAAAGCTTGAATCCCCCAAAGCGGCCAGCTCGCAGATCAATGGGCAGAACACAGCCTATACTACGCCGCCGAATGGTGGTCTCCAAGCCTGGCTGCAGGTGGCAGGCTCGTTCTTCCTCTTCTTCAACTCATGGTATTATTTTCTATGCTGTTCCAGAGCTCTTTATGATGCCTTACTCACAATTATCTCCGCAACCACAGGGGAACCGTGAACACATACGGTGCCTTCCAAACCTACTATGAAATCGGCCTGCTTAAGGACCAGTCCAGCTCAGACATCTCCTGGATTGGTGCAATCCAAGCTTTTCTCCTCCTTCTAATCGGAGTCATTACCGGTCCCCTATACGACTCGGGGTACTTTTACATTCTCATCCTCACCGGCTCCGCCCTCATCGTAGTCGGATTCATGACACTCAGTCTCTGCACCTCATACTGGCAAGTCCTCCTCGCTCAAGCGTTCTGTATCGGACTCGGAAACGGATGTCTCTACATCCCGTCTGTGGCCATAATTCCAAAATACTTCTCCTCGCGGCGTCCAATTGCCATAGCCCTTGCCGCGTCGGGAAGCAGCCTCGGAGGCGTTCTCTATCCTATAATCTTCCGTCAACTCCAGCCTCGCATCGGCTTCGGATGGGCCACGCGAACCCTCGGATTCATAGCTCTCGCAACGACTGCCTTTTCCATGTCCGTCATGCGCGTGCGCCAAATCCCCAAGCACAGACGCGTCTTGACCGAATTGTCCGCCTTCAAAGAGATTCCATACACCTTATTCTGTGTGGCCATGTTCTTCGGTTACATTGGCTTCTTCAACCCTATCTTCTACGTCGAAGCTTACGCCATCCAAAAGCATGCTGTAGGCGAGCCCCTCGCTTTCTATCTTGTCTCTATCCTCAATGCTGCGTCCGTTCCGGGGAGAATCATCCCAGGTCTTCTAGCCCCGCGATTCGGCCCGTTGAATATTCTCCTGGACAGTGCTGTTATAAGTGGCTTTTTATCACTATGCTGAATTGCGATCACGGACTCGAGTGGCTTGATTGCATTTGCAGTCCTGTATGGATTCTTCTCCGGGGCTTTTGTTGCACTTCCCGCTGTGGCTTTGACCTCCCTCACTCCGAACCTTGACACCTTGGGAACGAGACTTGGTATGTGCTCGGTGTTGTGTGGGTTGGGGTCTCTATGTGGTTCACCTGTTGCGGGTGCTATTTTGGATAATACGGGGTCGTATTTGGGGGTACAGCTGTACTCAGGGCTTAGTATCGTAGCTACGGGTCTGCTATTGCTCTTTGCAAGGATATCGAAGAATGTCTGATAGACCTAGTTAACGGGGATTATTGTGCCCCAGTAATGTTGAATCCTATGTCTACTTTGGAAGGATTATTCTTTAAACTTCATATTCAATCTAGTCCCATGAGAGAAGTAGAGGTAGCAACATTGGCCTTCGTTCAATTTATAGTATCCCATATAGCTGGCTAAACATGATTATGAAAGCAAATATACTAGCCAACAACAATTCAGTATATTAGAGGACCAACAGAACTATAGTCATTGACTTCCCTCTCCCTGCGGATTCCTGGCCTCCCTAATCTATATACTCGGGATTACATACCAGCAATCCATACCACTAACATACAAATTTCAATGAAGAGCTTCTATCAGTTGCTCATGGTAATCACCAAGGGCACAATGGTTGAAATTCGACGTGGAAAGATCGTTTCCCTTCCGACTTGATAGTATACCCGGACCTCAAGCTCGTAGCTCCGGCCCACCATACACGAATGAAAGGTGGGCACAAAAGGTGTGTCAGGGGAGAGACTGAAAGACACCGGAACAAGGGCCTCATACGTCATCTCAGTTTGCGGATCCGTTTCTGTGGGGCATGGCACAGCCTCCCATTTTATACTGGACATGTCTTGGGTGGCGATTTGCAGGGTCTTCGTGTAAACGCTCGATTGGTGACTTTGGGTTTGATAAGAGATATCTGGGCTTGGGCACAGACCAAAAAGTGTCGATGCATGTATGAAAATAGTTAATTGATGTAACCGAGGACAAATCCCCGTGACAGAATAGTACCGGAGTCGGAGAGGAATAGTAGCCTCTGTAGATCGTTGTCGGTGAAGGTACATGGTAAGCGGTCCCTCATGCTGGATCTCACTGATGAGGCGGCCTTCCTTTCGTCGGAAAATATTACGTACGATTTGGGCCTTCATTGGGGAATCATGCGTTTCCAGAGCCAGACGAGAAGGCTTATCGGAGTCACTGGTTGCAGGAGTGAAGCCCGGGGGTGGCCTCTCAGACGAAGGTGTGGGAATGATATAGATCTCCCTAATAGTGCTGAGCTCCGGTTCCTGGTATTGCTGACAAGCTCGGAGGGTTGCCTTGATACAGTAGCGAATCTGTACCGAATCTGGGGTGAGGATGTCGTCTTTCTTGCTTCTTGTGGCACATGGAGTTTTGACCCCTAGAGAAGGAGGCAGCGCTGTATGCGCATATCGCACGAGTGGATCGGACACGGCATGGCTGCATGATTCAGTGGGCAGAGCGGATGGGATGACGAATGCAAATGGGAAATTCCCAGGAGAATCGACTTGCGTCTTCTGGCTGAGACGCAGAAAAGTCTGGGCGCTTTGAAGTTTGACTCCCAGTTCATGCTGCATGGATACTGTGGTCACACCTGAATAGAACAAAACCTCAGTAGTTTCTCCGGGATAGGCGAACTAATCACTTTACCTTCAAGCATAACCACCAGATCGGAGTAGTGGTTATTGTTTTCCACATGAATACTGATCTCGCCTGAGAGCATGTCCCCATTGGAAAACACGCATAATGCATCACCTGAATTGCCATGTATATGTACCTGGAGTTTCGATCTTGCCATTTTTCTGAATAGCTCGTTTGGGATTTTGGACTGGCATGTCGGTGACGACTCCAATACAGGAATATATGCTGTTTGGCCGTGAGGCACGGATATCGGAATCGGCTTTCGGCTGTGCGAAATAATTAAAAGGAACCCAGAGACGAATGAAGCACCACCTAATGAGCTCTTTGATCACCAGGATCTTGAGGGCTTATTGAGCGGCTTATCGGGGCAGAGCCAATCGGGAATGATAACGGTCATCCCGAACGCCGAGTGGCTTTCCGGCACTAACGACTAGCATTATCTACCACCGACGCCGTGGAAGTTCTTCGACTTGTGACAGTGCTATCTGGTAACCTTCGGTGCTATGCCTTCTCTGCGGCGGCGCAACGGTCGCAGGGCTGCCTGTGAGGCCTGTCGCAGACGGAAACTAGCTTGTGACCACAATCAGCCGACATGTCAACGATGCCAGAAGCATTCACTCGAATGCATTTACCTATCGCAGTCAGATAGCACGAGAAGCACGATCTCGGAAGAAACTCCGCAATTACTTGTAGGATCAAGTGTCTCCTATCCTGAGGTGCATGCAACATCCGCAGAGAGCCACGGGGATGCGGATCGGAGCACGCCCCTTATCGAAAGCTCGAACGAATACCTGGGACCAACGAGCTTCACTTCGGTATTTGTGGAACATGGAGATTGCTTCGAGTTGGAGGACGCCAACAATGCCAACAAAACTTCAGGAATACGACGAGACTTGGCTCCAGATCCCCAAGTTGACACACCACTTGTGCAGCTCGGCGCTCGTATACTGAGCCATGTACCGGAGGAGCGCAACTGCTCCATGCTCTTCTCAAGCCACATCAATCCAAATGATGGCTGGGTCCGACTGGCAGGGCATCACTCATCAGACAGAATGTGGAATGCTTTCCGGCCGGCGCTACGACGACGGTCGGAAGAAGATATGCTGGGAACTGCTGCGATTGTCACCCGAAATAGCAGAACACCGCTACAAGATAAACAGGATCCGCAGGCTTGGCTGGCCTCCTTTACAGGCGCACAGATGCGATGGGAAACTCTTGGCATTTTGTATACCTACTGGGCTTGCGGGGCAATCTCGTCGTCGTCGGAGAGTCAAGCGGTCGCCGAATATTGTCAGGCACATTCATCTGTTACGAACGCAAAACAATTGATGACGCACTTCAAACGCTGTGCAGCGCTATGCATTGATATATGCAAACAGCTTGGCTCCATCAACCTTCTTTTTGTGTATCTGTTGTACAAGCATAATATTCTGGAGGGCATTCTGAGCGGGGACAAGAGTAGGTGGCACTATAGATCAAAGATGCCTCTTGTCTAACTAAAGTAAGGCTTCTCCCACTGGACACAGCATGGCGAGCTAGTCGCCGTGACCACTTCTCTCGGACTTCATCGCGAGCTTGCAACAGAGGCAGAAACTGTGAGTCTCCCATACGAACTGAAAAGGAGGCTCTATGCCGCTGTTTTCAACATTGATAAGGTCATTTCGACTTTCACTGGGCGACCCCCTCTCTTGAGTCAGGCATATTCATCTACCAGACTGCCACTAGATCTGAGTGATGATGCCCTACTATCTAGCGATCTTTTGTCTGCCGCTGCGCAGTTGAACTCCCGCGGATGGAATCAAGACAACCAAATCTACTCTACAACAATTTTACGATCGCGTACGAGCTTCGCCCGTATCCGACATGAGGTCTTGGAGGTTTTAGAAAGTTCAATGGATAATCTGGCTGATGGATCCGTCAATAGGGCCATGTGCGTTACTCCAAGCCACACACATATCTTCTAACATTAGTACCAGAGATCTAAAGCAACGGTCCCATGATACATACATGCAACTTCCATCGGTGATTCAGTTTTCGAAATCTGAGCTCTCCAACACCAATGTTCCCGGATATGTCCTCTATGCACAAATCCTCACGCGTTTGGAATTTCTCCTGAACCTATTTCTTCTGGAACGGCTGTTGAAGCGACACAATATCGTCACCGGGCAAGACCTTGTCGAAGTGAGTCATGAACTGCTGGACTTGACCTTGATCTTCTGGAGGAAGAAAGACCGATTTGTTGGTCTGTACGCTGACTTTGAATGGCTGGTACGTAATCGAATTCCCTGTATCTAGGATACAACTCGAAACATTCATTTCCATTTATTTATGTCTCTAAAACAACTACAAGACCATGTCCTACGCAATTCCAGCAAGCGGCATCCTCTGTCTGGAGCTCCTGCGACAAGCGACACATCCGCAAAGCTATCAAATACGCCTCCCTCGATCGCCAATTATCCAGAACCTTAGCCTACTGGTAGTATGCCTGGACTGGATCGAGACCGAGGCTTCCTGCAAGAGCATGGTATGTTCCATACGGAGGATCCTGAGTCGGTCTCTGGACCGGATATTGGATCCCGATCCGCCTGTAGTTGAGCAGCTGCAGTCTGTGGCACCGTTTCTGGATAATGAGCTCCCGCAATACCCGCATTTAGAGCTGCTGAACACGTTTGACTGGGTTGATTGGGATGGGAGTATTGGTAATTGAAGCTCAGAAGGAAGGAGGAAGGCTAGCAGACCCAACGGATTGCTGTTCTAATGTGAAGAGCTGTAGAACGAGTCTACTTGTCAGGCAAACGATATGATTAGCGCCAGTTAATGATCAATGTCCTAATTGAACTCGTAAAAATCAAAACCGAGCGGATGGTAATTGGGCCAGTCTGAAGGTCTAGGTCAGAGGCTATATGAAGGGGGCCGACTGCGAGGGGAGAGGCTTCTTCATATTATCACGCGACTTTGATATTGTACGAATGAGTCGGATCAAGAACGTTGTATGCTCATGTCTCCTTCAACTTTGCCTTTAGTAGTCATAGCTCTAATATCCAAACACTACTACTGGCCCCGATGTATATGCCGTCGGTAGCATTCATTGTCGGGAAGGGTGCCCTAATATCTCCTAGCTAACCGATTACTACAGTCCTTGTCATTCCCGGCAAAATTCCATTCAATTAATGGAATACCCGCAAGTCTGCCTTGGATTATAGCGACTCCAATCAACCATCTCAAAGATTTGCTACGCAGGCTCTTTCAAGCTCTATAGATTTATACCACAGTGACATTATTGATCACTTACTGACACACTCCACAACTGAAGACACTACTCCTACGGTTCATGTTTCATCAATTATTCTTGTTTCTTTCGTTGTACTGATTTCCTCACCACAATATATCCACTATTAAATCAGTGTGCCTCGCAACCTTTAGGCTACGTTCTACTATATGCGAGAGAGCTTCGGGGTATCGTATTGCTCTGGGGATACGAGTCACCAGCACCTGCACGCGTCTACGAAAGAAACCTGAACGCAAACAAACTCGACCTTATTCCTACTGGATCAACAAATCAGCCGTACCACCTCAGTTGAACCACTCTCA